CCCAGGGAAGCTGCTCAGGGAGTGATGAGGGAAGGGGACGCAATGGGTGAGGACTGAAGTTTTGAGGTGAGAGCCTGGAGGGACCACACAGGCCATCTCCACACAGAGTAAGCAGAGGCCCAGAGAGGTGAAGTGACTCTCCCAAGGTCACACAGCTTGTGAGGGGCAGAGCTGGAACTTGAACCCGACTCTGTTTACCCACTGCTATTGTCTGCCCCAGGAAGCTTATAATGTGGGGTGACTCACCAACAGTTGTCTTAATGCCCAGCCAGAAAAACCAGTGTGACAATGGATCACAGCCAGCCTCAGGTGTGAAAGGGTGAGGTGGCCTGGGCTCGGTGGCTGGAGTGGGGGTGGGGGGGTGACAAGGCCACCTCGAGTCAGCTTGCTTCTGGATATTCGCAGAGCCCCTTCCTGGCACTCTCTTCTGTGGTCCTCACAGCACGCAAGAGATGAAAGCGGGGGGCCCCTTTGACAGGTGAGGAAACTGAGGCTTGGGGAATGCAGAGACCACATGGCATGTGTGTGTGTTCAAGGCAAGTCTCTGGCAAGTTACTGTATAGTCATATATTCCCCCCCCCATTCATTTATCCATTCATACACTCACCTGTGCATAATCCATCCATCCATCCATCTGTCTATCCACTAATGTATCCATCCAAACACCCACCTACCCATCCATAATCTGTCCATCTATAATCTATCCATCCATCCGTAATTATCCATCTATTATGCGTGCATCCATCTATCTATCCACATACCCACCTAGCCATCCATAATTCATCTATCTATAATCCACCCATCCATCCATTTACACACCTACCCACCCATTTATAATGTGTGGTGACTCACCAACAGTTGTATTTATTTTTTATTTTTATTTTTTAAAAGATTTTATTTATTTATTTTAGAGAGAGGGGAAAGGAGGGAGAAAGACAGGGAGAGAAGCACGATGTGTGAGAGAAACAATGATTGGTTGTCTCTCTCATGCCCCCAGCTGGGGACTGGCCCGCAACCCGGGCATGCGCCTTGACTGGGAATCGAACTGGCAATCTTTTAATCCACAGGCCGGCGCTCAGTCCACTGAGCCCCACCAGCTAGGACAACAGTTGGATTAATAATATACCTACCCATCCATCCATAATCCATCCATCCATCCATGCAGCCACCCATTCATTCATTTATCCGTCCACATACATATCCATTCATAGTTTACTCACCCGTTCATCCATTATCCATCCATCCAAAACCTACCCATCCATCTACCTCATAATCCACCCACCCATTCATTCATCCTACTATCTATCCACCCACCCTTTTGTTTATCCTTTTATACACCTACCCACCCATCATCCATCCATCCACCCATTCATCATCCATCCATCCATCCATCCATAATCCATCTATCCATCCCTCCATCCATCCATCCATCCATTTATCCATCAATCCATAGGTGGGCCCCATGATTGGAATTGGGAAGGCTCTTCAGGTGGTGGCTAGGGGCACAGGCTAGGGACCTGAGTTCCCCTGTGACCTTAGGAGAATTACCACATTGCCTACCTCTCCAGAATGGGAACAGCAATAGTTCTAACCTTGTGGGTTTGTTGTGAGGGTTATGTGAGTTGATGTCTGTAAACCACCTACCATAGTGTCTGGATGCAGTAAACATTTACCAATTATCAGCTCTTATTTTCTCTGGGGACCCATCTTTGTCTTGCCCTTCTCTGGTTCTGAAAGTGTGTCATGGACAGGCTGACAACATGCTGGGAAGGTGGGGGGCATCAGAGATGTGGAGGGCATCCTCCTCTCCCGAAGGGCCCTGGGGGTAGCAAGCAGAAATGTGGGTTCATGTGGAAATTTCGGACTTCTGAGCCTGTCTTAGGAGAGTGGACCATCTACAGTGATTTGGCTTTGCTTTGTTAACTTTAAGGTCTTCTAGCGACTGATTCATCTCTAGCTGATGCTGGAAAAATGGCAGTTGCTGCTAATGCGGCCTTGAAGATAGCCACGTGCCCACTCAACACCGTTACTTAGAAAATAGGATTCAAGAGGTAAGATCAAGGTCACTGATGCACACCTGTCCACCTCGTCCTCCATTCAGCCAAACACGCGTCTGTGCACCCACTCATTCATCTACCTGTTCGTCTATCTACTCACCCATCCATTCCCGTATTCAGCCTCTCATTCACTCACTATCCATCCACTAGTTCCACACATCCTCCCAGCCATTAGCCATCTACCCACCTACCCAACCCATCCAGCCATCTTTCCATCTGTGTATTTACCCATCTCTCAACTATTCATCCACTCCCAGCCATTCATCAACTCGCCCAACCGCCCATGCATCCTTCCACCCATTGATTCATCCATCTATTCCTCCACTCACTAGTCTATCCACCCAACCCATCCAATAATTTTTCACCCATCTAACCCATCCAGCTATCTGGTTACCACTCATCCATCCATCCCCTTACCTGCCAGTCCTGTTTATCCATCTGTACATGTAGCTGTCTCCTCATTCATTGGTCCCTCCATCTCCTCATCCATTCCTCCATCCGGGTGCTTATTTCCTCTTCCCTTTGTCTGGTCAGTGAGCATTTCCTGGATGCCCTTTCTGTGCCAGGCCTGTGTCAGCCTTTCTGGGCAAGGTCAACTCTCACACAAAGTAGAGAGTGGTTTCTGACCCTAACAGGAGAATCCAGGGCCAGAGAATCTGAAGGGATTCTTGGAAGTAGTGGACTTCAGCTGATCCCTGATGGGTGAGAAGATTTTAAACATTCCCTTTAGCTGTGGTTTGGGGGTTGACCACATGGAGGCGACGGTTGCCACAGTGCAATCCACCAGGAGCCCGTTGCTGTGTCCAGACAGGAGAGGCCTGGATAGGAGGGTGGCTTTGAGAATTTGGGAGGTAAAATACATAGGACCTGTTGAAGGAGTAGATGTGGGTACTTATGGAGAGGGAGGAGGCCAGGCTTGTAGCTGGGGCAGCTGGAGAGGTGGTCAGGCTGCCAGCGACCCCGTTAGGTGTGGGGGGAGGAGGGGAAAGGTGAGGGCGAGGAGAAGGTGAGGAGGGGGAAGGGAAGAGGAGGTGGCAGAGGAAATGGGGCAGGAGGCAGATTGGAGGAAGAGAAGAAACCATGTTGACCACGTGGTGCTGTGGGGCATCCAGGTGGGAGGCTTGAGTTCAGGAACCTTTGCCACAGGGGGACCACCTGAGGCCCGTGGGGGAGAGCCCAGGAGACCAGGTTCTGTGCAGGTGGTTTAGTGGTTGGTGATCCCAAGGAGCACTGTATTTGCGGTGAGTGGGGAAGTGAGCCAGGAAGGGAAGGAGCTGCTGTGGGGTGGATTTTTGACGAGGCTACTGCCGGGGGCAACTGGCTGAGGAACCTGCATATGCTGCCAAGAGGCAGCCGGAGAGCAGGCCCTCCCGTGGGCCTCAGGGCGCTGCCCTGCCAATCGCTGGTTGCCGGTTGCTCCTGGGGCATTCATTCCCTGGCCTGCCCTGGAGCTGTCGGGCAGAAAGACCTTGTTGGTGATTGGGGAGTGGGCAGTGGGTCCTGGAAGGGTGAGGGTCCAGAGAATGGGTGGGACGCCCACCGCTCCCACCCCCAGCGCAGTGCACGTGGTTGCTGGGTCTCTCCTCAGGCCTGGCCAGGCCTCGGGGCAGAAAGCCTGCGCTGTGTCAGCCTGAGTGTTTGCAGGCCCAGGGCGTGCGCCCGGGCGGAGGGGAGGGGGCGCGGCCTGGGGCGAGGCCCTGCGCAGGGGCTTGTGCTCTTCTCCCGACTTTGCAAATGCGAACGGCCCCTTCCAGCCCCGCCTCCCCGCCCCCGCCCCAACTCTCGGCTGTCCCCAGGCCAGCCTCAGCCTCTCGCTGGCCCCCTGAATGTGCCTGCACGCCTCGCCCTGCTCTTTGCTCCACAGTGCCCCCCCGGAACGCCCTCCTCCTGGCTGCCCTCCCCGCCACCGCACTCCCAGCCCCTGGTGCCTGTCCTTGCCCAGCGCCCTGACTTGCTGCAGAACACCCTCAGGTCTGCCCATCTGCAAATGAAAGACTGAGTTTTGAAAGATCTACTCCTAAGTCTGATGAATAGCGAATGGATTAGGAGATTCTGAAGCTGTCCCAGGGCACGGTGAGAAAGTTCCATGATAGATTAGTGATATCTGCCGCAGGCAGGCGTGGGCTGGAAAAAGGTGTGTATCAGCCACATTCTGGAACTAAGTGATCTCTAGGGATCCCTCGGGGGTGGACTTGATCATCAGGAGTTGGAGCTCCCATCCCTGGACATTCTAAGCAAGGGCCACATGCTGGGGTCAGGGGTGCTGGGATGGGTTTTGTCTCTGCTGTCGAGTGCTGAGATTCGGAATGTCCGTATGTCTTGTCGCTGCATGGGACTGCAAAGGCCTTGAGGACTGAGACTGGAATAGTGTCATGCCTGTATTCTGGCCTTGGGGTCTGGGGGACATGGCTTTGTTTTGTTTTTTTTCCCCCTCACCCTCAGACTGGGAGCTCATCCCTTGAAGGTTGTGTAACCCCGGGCAGGTGACCCAATCTTTCTGAGCTTCAGTTTCCTCATCTGGAAAATGGGGTAATAGTCATAATGTTGTTGTAGGGATTAGGTGAGTTAAGTAGAGCTCTTAGAACAGTTCCTGGTGGGTAATAAGCACTGGATGTGCATTGATTACTATGCTTATACCTTTGAAGGGGTCCCGGCCGGCTGAGAGGTCCCTGAGGGTGGGGGATCTTGAGCCCTGCCCCTCGGGGCCCCTCCATTGACCATTGTAGTCACTGCTTTCTTGGCATTGAGAATGTGAGCCCAGGCCTTCCTCTTGTCTCCTCCAGATGTCATTGAAACCTGAGGTGTCCAGAGCCTCAGGGGATGGCATGGAGCCTCCTGCTCTATCCAGAGGCCCTTCCCAGTGGCTCTCGGGCCCCTCCCACGGGTCATGTGGTGGCTGCCTCTCTAAAATCCCAGCCCAGGCCCGACCAGTGTCATAAGTATGCTGGATGCTGCAGGCTGTGTCCGCAGCTGCTGGGGTGGCAGGGACAGCTCTGACCCTCTCAGGGGCTCTGGGTCCATGCGCCCCGCTGCCTGTCTCTGCTGCTAGACCTGCTTCACTGCTGTCTCCGGTGTGGAAGTCACCCTGTCTCTTTTGGTTCAGGTATTGCACCCCAGTGTCTCTCTCCCATTCCCTCCCAGCAATGCCCAGGCCCTCGCTGGCCAACCTGGGCACCTGCTGACAATGGTCCTGTTATTTTTACCGTCTCATCCGAGCCTGCAAGTTGCTTTGTGACCTCGGGAGAATCTCAGCCTCAGTTCTCCCATCTATAAAATGGGGAGCTGGGGCCCTTGCTTGCTAAAGCTTCTTTCATCAAAACAAATCTAATTTCATTTCTTATCTGATTTAACTACGTGCAGCCACTGAGCAAGAGCTAAATGCCTGCATATCCCTGGTTGAGGATATTGTCCCACATTTCTTTCTTTTTAAAAAATTTGTATGTATTGATTTTAGAGAAACAGAGGAAGGGGGCGAGAGAGAAACATCGCTTTGCTGTTCTACCCATCCATGCACTCACTGGTCGGTTCCTGGGTCTGCCCTGACCGCCCAGGTGTCGAACCCGCGCCTCAGTGCAGCGGGACGACGCTCCAGCCAGTCGAGCTGCTTGGCCGGGGCTTGTCCCACATTTCTTAAATCAAGTCCTTAGGGACCACAGAGCCAAACAACCTTCTTGCCAAGCCAGTATTTGTGTGCGAGGAGTGTCCTTGGGACATTTGGCGAGTAGGTGGTGCTGGGGCTTTTGCTCATGGGTTTTCTGCTGGGGCTTTCTTTGTGGTGCTGTGCTCATCACGCCTGTGAGGGGCCCTCCACACCCTGAGCGTGTCATACACACATGCACCCACACACGCACATGCATGCACACACGCAGCACAAGGAGGGCAAGAGAAGCTGAGGATGGGACTACACTCGGCTTCTACTCTGTCTCTGTTCTTTAGTTTCTGGGTGACTTGGACAACTGACTTTGCTCCGAGTCTCAGTTTCCAGCTCTGAGAAAAGGGGGAGGAGGTATGAACATGACCTTGTTGATTTTTTTCTATGTGGTTCTAGGAGGAACGTCAACAGGTGAGAGGGTTGTCAGGCCTGTGTGACACAGTCTGGGTGGGTCCTGGGTGCCCAGCCTTGCAGAGACACCGGAAGACACTGCAGCAGCCCCACCTACCTGGGAGCTGGCCAGGTGTGAGGCTGTTCCACTGTCAGGAGCCGTGTTCCTGGATGGGCTCTCTGGCCTTTGATTCTTGCAATTCTGTCCCGTGCAGGCCTTGAGCTGCTTGGAGTCCCAGCTGGAGTAACCATGACCCGTTGGACGTCCCTCAAGGCCTCCAGGCCACACAAACCCACCCCCAGCAATCTGGCAGCCTCCTGCCGGCATCAGTGTACCCCGACCCTGGCACCTCCCCTTGGAGGGTCCAGGAGTGTGGGGCTGAGCTGTCTCCCTGGCACAGGGAGTCCTTGGGGTCCCCACCACCGCCGGCTCCCTGCTTCCTGGCCCAGACAGAAGCAGCATCCGCCATTCCAGCCTCCGGCCTCAGCTCCTCCAGTCCATGGTGAGGTGGGCAGGTGGAGCTCCTGAGGGGGAGGACAGCAGCATGAGGGGAGGCCCCGCAGAGTCTGGGGCCCCATGGCGGGAGGCCTTGCATTAGACAAAAATGGTTAGAATCTCAGCTCTCCTGCTTATTGGCGGTGAGGCTTTGGGGAAGTCACTTTACCTTTCTGAATCTCCACGCGGGGAGTAGAAGTACAGATAGAAGCTGCCTCCTTGAGCTGTGGACTGGCTGACCTAAGAGCATTTATTTGCTGGTGTGTCTGGCCTCCGCTCCCTGTGGCTGGAGGAGCCGGGCCTCCCAGGCAGTACGGGCCGTATGAGCGCCGTGTGCGAGCCAGCCCTGGGGGCCCAGCAGCGCCCAGCAGCCTGGACAGACCTCGGGAAGGGTCTGCGGCCTCAGGGCTCCCCCCTCGCCCATCTCCCAGATGTTTGGAACGGAGGTCAGAGGTCGTGCCCTCCGAGGCTCTGGCTGCACCTGGTCATACAGATGCATCCCAGTGTTACTCCTTCCTGGCTTTGTCGCTTCCAGTGTCTGAGCCTCTGGTGGGTGTCCAGCCGCCTGCCTCCGTGCTCCTGGCCCGGCTGTCCTGGGACCTTCTCCTCTGCAGCCTCACTGTCTTCTGGGCACTTCAGGGCTCCCAGCCTTGTCTAGCTCTGACCTCACAGTGCAACCAGGTGGGGTTTGGAGGTGCCTGGGGCCCCCACCCTGGGGAGGAGCATGCCTAGCTTTCTCATCCTCATGTCCAGGCCAGCTGGCCAGCGGTCTCCCTCTCCTAGTAGCTCGGTCCTGCTGAGACAGGATGAGGTCCGGAGTACCCGCAGCCCCAGTGCTAATGGCCAGATGGCCTCAGTGCCCACAGGGCCAGGTGGTGCCGTGGCGCCCAGCCCGCAGATGCCTCAGCCTGGCACCAACAGGCTGTCCCAGAGCCAGCAGGGCATTGGGGGAGGGGTGGCCACTGGCTTGTGTGTCCAGGGGCTGGACAAGTACCGCCGGCCGTGGGAGCAGTGTTTGCCTGGTGTGGGTGTGGTGCTGGGGGGCATGCCCCGAGACCACCCAGTGTGTGTGCGTGGCAGGCTGACCAAGGGACACTTCTGAGTGCTTCCCGTGTGCTCTAGTTTAGAGCTGAGGGACGTGGCTGTCAGGGAGGCCCCTGGGATGAGGTCAGCCAGTCTGTGACTCCTCTGGGCACTGACGTAGGGCCCCCTCCTAGCTGTTGCTCATGACAAGGAGAGAGAGGGTGTGGCGTATGGGTTTTGAGAGTGGGCGCCTTGGGTGGAGTACGTGAGCGTCAGGAGGGTGGGTGGGGCCCAGCTTGGGGTGTCCTTGGGAACAGGGCCTTCGATAGACCCTGGGCAGTGAGTCGGCAGTGAGGGAGACAGCAAGCTCCCTGTGCTCAGGTGGCTGCCCGTCTCGTGGGAGGGACTGCAGCCCTGGGCACGTCATCGCTGTTGTTATTACTGCCTTTATTAGATCAGAGGTCAGGGTTGTGGGTCACGTTGGGGACCTGAATGGGGTGTAAAATCCTCTGAGGACACAGGAAGAGCCTCTGGAGATGATCTGGTGGCATTAAAGCCAAGGCCCGAGAGAGGGCGGTGGCGGGGAAGTCCTGGGAGGAGGGGTCAGTGTGGGTTTAAAGAGCAGGAAGGGGGCCGCGGGCAGCAGCGCGGTAAGTGGCGGGGAGGCTGGGAGGTGAGGCCTGGGGGTCCCGGGCTCTGTTCACACATGCGCCGCAGACGCCAGCGGGGACTCTGGCTGTGGGGAGATGATGGACAGGCTCCCTCTGGCTGCTGCTGCACTGGGGTTTGGCAGAAGCAGGGAGGTGGGCAAGGTGGCTGCCAGGTTGGTCCAGGTGGGTGACGATGGGGACTCAGGCCATGCGGACTTGGAATAAGGGGGTGGATCCTGAATATATTTTGAAAGCAGAGCCCTTGGTGTGGGAGTGAGAGAAACTGAGGACAAATTTAAGGTTTTTGGCTGGAGGTATTGGGGGATGAAGTGGCAGATTGCCAAGCTGAGAAGAAGGGTGAGGAGCTGGCTCGCAGTGGGAAGGAAGGTTGGGATCTTGGTTGTGGGAAGGTTAGGGTCAAAACGTCTGCCAGCCACATCCAGGGGCCCTGGGCGGGGGAGTTCCTGGGCTGCTGCAGGACATCTGCTGTCCTATCTGTTGCAGGAGCTGTCCTACCTGGAGCCGGCCTGGGGGCGAGAAGCCAGGGCTGCCCTATCCCCGGGATGACCGCAGCCAGCCGGGCCAACCCCTACAGCATTGTGTCATCAGAGGAGGACGGGCTGCACCTGGTCACCATGTCGGGCGCCAATGGCTTTGGCAATGGCAAAGTTCACACACGGCGCAGGGGCCGAAACCGCTTCGTCAAGAAGAACGGCCAGTGCAACATCGAGTTTGCCAACATGGATGAGAAGTCGCAGCGCTACCTGGCTGACATGTTCACCACCTGTGTGGACATCCGCTGGCGCTACATGCTGCTCATCTTCTCGCTGGCCTTCCTCGCCTCCTGGCTGCTGTTCGGCGTCATCTTCTGGGTTATCGCTGTGGCCCATGGTGACCTGGAGCCAGCCGAGGACCGTGGCCGTACACCCTGTGTGTTGCAGGTGCATGGCTTCATGGCAGCCTTCCTGTTCTCCATTGAAACGCAGACTACCATCGGCTACGGGCTGCGCTGTGTGACAGAGGAGTGTCCGGTGGCCGTCTTCATGGTGGTGGCACAGTCCATTGTGGGCTGCATCATTGACTCCTTCATGATTGGCGCCATCATGGCCAAGATGGCGCGGCCCAAGAAGCGGGCACAGACGCTGCTGTTCAGCCATAATGCGGTCGTAGCGCTGCGCGACGGCAAGCTCTGCCTCATGTGGCGCGTGGGCAACCTGCGCAAGAGCCACATTGTGGAGGCCCATGTACGGGCCCAGCTCATCAAGCCGAGGGTCACGGAGGAGGGCGAATACATCCCGCTGGACCAGATCGACATTGATGTGGGCTTCGACAAGGGCCTTGACCGCATCTTCCTGGTGTCGCCCATCACCATCCTGCATGAGATTGACGAGGCCAGTCCGCTATTTGGCATCAGCCGGCAGGACCTGGAGACAGATGACTTTGAGATCGTGGTCATCCTGGAGGGGATGGTAGAGGCCACGGCCATGACCACACAAGCCCGAAGTTCCTACCTGGCCAATGAGATCTTGTGGGGTCACCGCTTTGAGCCTGTCCTCTTTGAGGAGAAGAACCAGTACAAGATAGATTACGCACACTTCCACAAAACCTATGAGGTGCCCTCCACTCCCCGCTGCAGTGCCAGGGACCTGGTGGAGAACAAGTTCCTGCTGCCCAGTGCCAACTCCTTTTGCTATGAGAACGAGCTGGCCTTCGTGAGCCGTGACGAGGAGGACGAAGCCGATGAAGACCAAGAAGGCAGCAGCCCTCAAGCTCGGCATGACTTTGATAGACCCCAGGCTGGCGGCAGTGCCCTTGAGCAGCGGCCCTACAGACGGGAGTCAGAGATCTGACCTGCTGTTAGCCACGGTGCTGCATCTGCCCAGCCAGGGAGAGGCCCGCATCCCCGAGGGCCCAGGGCTGGGGTAGAATGGACCAGGCACTCTGGTTGCAGACTCAGTAGTGTTTTAGATGCTTTATGTATCTTCACGATGGGCCCAGACGGTGGGCGGGAGAGTGGGTGGCTGGTGCTGGCAACCCCCAGCTCAGAGGCCCAAGCAGGCCCAGGGGCCAGGAGGTGGCCTCCCTGGGGTTGGACCTTCTGCCCGAGGAAAGGGCAGCCACCAGCCCAGAAATGGCTCTACCGCTGGCCACCCAGCCTCGGGGGAAGGCTGGCAGGCTGCAGGGAACCCTGTTGCTTTGTAACTTGAGGAGAAACAATGGGTTTTGGCTTTCTCAATCTTAGCTTGAGTAAGACTGTTTACAAAAAAAAAATTCACATGCGATTAAAAATTTTTTTAATTTGTGAGAGTACAAAAAAGGGACAATTAGAATTCCATTTGTTTGCCAGAATGCGAGCAGCTAGGTGGAGGCTCCTGATGTTTCTCCAGGGCTGGATGGACCTCTGCCTCCTCCGTGAAGGCCGGGCCCTGGTGGGCGGCTGGCCCACAGCAAGCACAGCGCCACCGCGGTTCTTTATGTTTGTGGGTAGATTAGATTCCAATTGTGAAAGGAAAACCAAGACCATGCTCATTATCATAATACAAGCTTTCCATTGTCACAGAGGAGGAGGATAGGGACCAGGAAGAAAACTAGTTTGAGCTTTTTGAGTTTGACTTTGCCCATTAGAGGTGCTTCTCAGGGTTGAATAGGAGACCTGCCTGCCATGGAGGGTCCCTTCCCCCCCAGCGCACTGGGTTCATCTGATTTACTTCTCTCTTTTTTTGGCTGGTGGTCTCCACCCCTTCCATGGGGAGGGGCAGCTGGGAAATGCAGGACTGGAGGGCTCCACGGGAAGGAAGCCCGGTTCCCAGACTGGGAGGAACCAGACTGGCCCCATCCGGTCCAGGGCCCCAGCGTGACTTGTGCCTTAGAGATACCGAGGGGTGTGGCTCCAGCTTCTGTTTTTATAGGGCTCTCCCGCACTGCCCTGACTCCGCCACGAAGTCCCTGCCAGCCCCTCTGTCTGCAGAGGCCGGGCTGACTGGTGCTCTCTCTGAACCTGGGGCAGCGTGGGTGGGGCCGGGTGAGGGGCAGCCAGGCCGTCCCGGGCCTGAGTAGCAGAGGAACAGTCCTAGGAACGATGTGGGATTGCTGGCCGAGGTGATAGGCGTGGCACACACATCCAGCAACACACACAGTCAGGAGGAGGTTTGGGGCTGACAGCTCTGCTGCCCAGAAGCCGCCCTCTGGACGAGAAGCTGCCCAGTGGGGCTCATTCCTGGCAAAGGAGACAGCTGGCGGGGGCGGGACACTGGGGTGGAGCTGAGGACAGCTGAGGGCGCTGTTCTTCCAAAAGACCAGGCGCGGGCAGAGGTCAGTACTGGCTTGCCTGTGCAGGCTGCTCCAGCCTGTGCCCTCAGGGTAGCTTGCAGCCTGAGGCACCAGAGACTCTGGCTGAAGTGGGGGAAACTGAGGTAGAGTGCAAATAAGGGGTGGGACTCTAGTGACTGGGAGAGGCCAGGGCCTGGGTGGGGTCTTCTGCCTCTTCCCTCCTCCTCTGACCCCCTACCACAGCTGGAGACCCAACCCGAGGTCAGGGGCTGCGGAGGGCCTGAGCGTGGGCTCTCAGCTCCCGCCCAGAGACACGCTGGCAGCCCCGCCGTGAGGTAGGCCTGACTGCCGGCACCCTGTCCAGCCCTAGACCTCGCCCTAACTCCTGGCCTAGAAGATCCACCCCGAGGCACTGGAGACAGCTCTTTCAGGATCTGCTGGAGGAGCCTCCGCTCTGAGCCCCGCTGGCTCTCTTGGCCTTAGTTAGCCTTGGGGGTGGAGGATGGCGCTATTGTGGGACCACTTACTTATCAACCCTGTCCCAGATTGTCAGGCTGAGCCAGGGTGGAACAAGGCGGCCCCGGCTAGTCGGGAGGCATTAGGGGCTGGCGCCCTGATTGGTCCAGCAGCCGGCGACCCTTCCAGGGCCAGGTGGGCCGGCCTTCCACTCACCCCACCTGGAGTACAGCTCGCCGGCACTTCAAAGCTCCAGTGGCTTCAGGTGGCCTGGTGTGCCTCCTCTCAGGCCTGTCCCCTCCCAGGCCCATGCCAGGCAGCCTCGTCCCTGGATCCTGCAAAAGAGAAGCTCCAAGCTGCCTTTCATCTCCCACCAAAGGCAGAAGCTGTGTTTTTACTCTTCTGCCCTTTCCCCTTCCCCTGTATGTATGTATGTATGTATGTATGTATTTATTGCTGTGCTAAAGATCAAAATAGTCTCCCTCTTTAGTGCACTTGAAACTGGAGGGAGGATGGGAAGAGGAGCTGTTGTGTGTGCAAAGTGAGGATCACATGGCTCCTGGGGAGTGTGTGAGGGTGTGTGTGTGACCATGTGTGGTGTGTGGACAGCATGTTAAGCCATTGAATGTACCATACACCCGTGAGTGGGGAATGGGAATGCTTGTACATGTGTGTATGCATGTGGCGTGTGGTGGGTGTGTATATGCATGTGTATGCATGTCGGGTGTGGTCTGTGCTGAGCAGGTGTGTATTCCAAAGTGCTCCCACTCTTGCCCTCCCAGGCAGCAGAATTTCCAAGAATTTTCTCAACAGTCTGAACCAGGAGGCCCGAGGCTGGAATGGGCTAAGGACGTGGCCTCCAGCCACTCTGCCTGGGGCGCTGAGCTGGTTACTGGGAAAGGGCTGTGCTGGCAGAAGTTTGCGTGTGTGACTGTGAGAGTGGGAGCATCCCGCGTGTGGGCTCGCGGAGGGTGGGCTCATCTGTGATGACGTGAAACACACAGTTGTTGCTTTACCTGGAGGTACAGGAACGCATGGACTCATCGTACGTGGGACTGTGGTACAGATATGTGCACCTGAAAGTCTGTGTGTGTGTGAACCTGGGATTATACAGATCTGTGATCTGTATGTGTACATGTATGTACGCACACAAAGCTTGTGCATACTTACCTGTAGGGGTGTGTGTGTGTATGTGTGTGTTTTACATGTGGATGTTGGTTTGAATGCTCGCCAGGCTGTCAGGCTGGGCACATACCACTCGGGACGGACGCCAGCGTGGACGTCCGCATGGCGGACCCTGGCAGTCCCGCTGGCCCTCCGCGCTGGTTGCGTCTGTGGGGGCTGTGTGGCGTGTGTGTGCCTGGGCATGGGGCGACATTGGCACATGTGTGTGAGTCTTGGCATCCAGCAGTGAACAGGTGTGTGCAGGAGGTGTGTGTGTGTCTGTTCGTCTGAACGTGTGTGCGCCTGTGGCACATCTGTGTGGCAGCTGTGCCAGGCCGTGAGTAGGGCTGGTGCCTGCCTTCTGGGGACAGTGTGTGTGCGCGCGCATGAATGTCAGGGTGCTGTGTCCACATGTGTGTCCTTGCATTGCCATGCCGCCCAGTCCCTGCCTGTGTGAGGGTCCCGGTGGAGGTTGGGGGGCTTGGTGGAAAGGAATCCCCAGCACTGGGGTGTCTGCCCTGCATGAGAGCACAGAATGTCAAATATATTTTAAGTGGTGAATTTTCATGTTATTTTCAGTACACAGCAGTATCTGAAGCTATAGGCCATGAGACTAGACCACATTCAATGCGTTCGATCTCCTTGAGTGCCACCATGTGGAGATGTGTGTTTAGAAGGCCCTGCTTGGCTCCGACACTTGCTGGCAGTTCTTGCGCTTCCTCAGCCCTGTGTCTGGAGAGATGGGTCTCCCCAGGGGCCTTTGAGGGTGGGGGTAGGGATGGAACATGGCAGCGGCTTGGAGACAGGGGATAGAACAGAGCTTCCTCACAGACCTGGCGTGCCCTGCTGGCCAGCACGCACACCCGCACTCCCCCGTGACCAAACACCTCTCCCACGCGGGCCCCGAGAGGGCTGGGCCCCCACTCAGACTGCACGTCACGCCTCCCAGCTGTGAACTTGCCTGCTGCCCTGTCTTTTCTGGGTCTGGTCTCCCACCTTTCCTCCCTTCTGCAAACATGCGACAAGCACCTCCCTGTGCAGGAGACCAGAGGTTCACTCTGGGACCGACAGGACTGGGGAGGTCCCAGCAAGACTGCAGCCTGGTGCTCACTGCTGTGACAGGAGAGGAAGCTGGGCCGGGGGGGGGCGGGAAGACCCCTATGCCAGCCTGGCAGGGCATGTAGGGTAGGCAGGAGCTGCTGGCAGGGGGGCCAGCACAGGCAGGGAGGATGGCATCTATACAAGGCCTATTTGGGGGAAAGGAAAATTTCTTCTGCACCAAGGGCCTAGTCTCTAGGATTTCAGTGGCCTTTGGCAGAGGACCACAAGGACAGAATTCTTTCCTTTTGCCAAACTGTTCTCACCACTGGAGAGATGTGCATCGGGGAGGGGCTTGGGGGATGTTCCCTTGGGTGGCACCTGGGGCCCCTACCCCAGGACCAGATGGGTCGGTCCATCGAGGCATTCCAAGGAGGCTGCACTGGCAGGCAGAGAGTTTTGACAAGAAGAACAAAAAATAACCTGGCGCCCAGTTCCATCCTTCCTGACTGTCAGCAGCAGCCCCTCTCCGGGCCTCAGTTTCCCCGCACATGATCTGATAGAAGGATGGTGCTCTTTGAGGACTCCGAGTGCTGGGCCAGGCTGTGCAGACCCTGGGGTTAGAGAGCCCTTCCTGTCCTGGGTCAACGCGGAGGTCAGCGCTGAGGCCGGGGGCTGCGCTGCCTCCCGATAAGTCCTGGTGCTGAGGCTGAGACCACAGCCTCGGGCCAGGGCGGGCCCCAGGCCAGCTCTGGAGCAGATTGTGTGCCTTACAACCCTGGGGGGCCATTTGCTACCTACGGGACCAGGCGCAGCAATGGTAACCCCTGAGGCTTCTTGCCTCTTCCCCTCACTTGCTCGGGCTCTGAGGAGGAGCCACCCATGGGCTCCGGGAGGGGATCACAGCGTCCCTGGAACATGTGGTGTGAGCCTGCAGGGATGGGGCGGGCAGATGGGGCCACTTCTGCAGACACTTTTTTTTGTGAAGCCACTGACTGGCTAGAAAAATGAAAGGGTGTTTCAATCTCATACCAACATACACACAACTACGCACACAAACATATAAATGCACCAAAAAACACATACAGACACATACAACTGTGTGGAATATTATACAGCTCCAAAAAGAAGTTACCTGATACATGCAACAATGTGGATGAATCCCACAGACACAATGTTGAATGAAAGGATCCAGACACAAAAGGTGTTCAAGTCTATTCAAAGGAAGTCCTAGAACAGGCCGTCTATGGCGATAGAAGTCAGGACAGGGGGCTGCCTGTGGGGACAGGAACCAGTCACTGGGTGTCAAGTGACAGAACTCTCCTGTTAGAGTAGGTGGCTGAATTTGGGCTCAGAGAACGGGCAGCGCCTGGATTGGGAGGGAGGGGC